GTTTCTTTTTCACTGTCGATGGTAATTGAAAAATCAATTCTCCAAAATTCATTTTTATTTCTAGTCTGACGCGACGCCAGAACGCATTTCGTAATAACTTATTACATTTTCAAAGACTTTAGTTTAGACACACAACTGTAACCTGTAAACACGCTATTCCGTCATACTGATACTCGCATTTGGGTGAGGTGATATGGTACAACAGTTTTGGATGAGATAAACAAACTTGTGACAAAAGACAAAACACGAAACTATGGGTATTAACTGGACATGCGAACATAATGGAAGTAACTGCAAAGGGCCTATTGGCCCATACTTTCTCTTGATGCTTCTATATTGGTTCGGAGTCTTGAAGTGGGTAGAATATAGTTGTGCATTAATTGGCTGTTGATTGCTGGTGTTGACTTCTTAATGTGTAGTGCCTCGCAGATATCAAGCCGCCTGCTATCGCTGTATCTATCGATGATTTCCGTGTTTTTTGTTAAGATTTCTCTGGTGATGGTCTGGTTGTGAGAGGAGATTATATGTTCCTTAATGGACCCCTGTTGTTTTTACATTGTTAATCGCCTGGAAAGAGACGTTGTTGTCTTGTCTGAGTTCTTTGGGGCTTACAGTCTCCAAGTGGGCATTTAAAGGCATAGACGACGTTGGTTTCCTTCAAGGCGTTCTGCTTTGTGTCTGGGGAGTTTTTCATGAGTAGGTTGGCCGTTTTTTGGTTTTATAGTAAATCGTCGATTGTATTTTCTGGTTTTTGTCTGTAGGGATAACGTTCCTATCAAGAATATCTTTCAGGACCCTTTCCTCCGTTTTATGAGCCGTCGAAAAGAAGTTCCTGTAAAATAGTCTAATAGGGGGTATAAGTGTTGTGTTGGTTGGCTTTTCAGAGGTTGCATGGCGTTTCACCTTTGTTTTTATGATGTCTTCAACAAAACCGTTAGAGAAGCCGTTGTTGACTAGGACCTGCCTTACCCTACAGAGTTCTTCATCGACTTGCTTCCATCCTGAGCTGTGGCTGAGAGCACGGTCGACATAAGCGTTAACAACACTCCTCTTGTACCTGTCTGGGCAGTCACTATTGGCATTGAGGCACATTCCTATGTTCATTTCCTTGGTATAGACAGCAGTATGGAAGCCTGCTGTGGTGAGCCTGCAGTTCACTCGAAAGAGAAATCAATGAAGAGCAACGAATCACAGGCCCCTCAAAGTGCTCAGAAAGTGAAGGAGGTACCTAAGCGAGTTTTGGTTGTGGGAGATTCCCAGGTGAGGTATTTAGACGGGACGTTTTGTGCCCGAGATAGGGGGAACAGACTAAGGGTTTGCTATCCGGAAGCTGGAATTGGTGATATTGTTGACAACATGATAGATATTATGACGGGAAATGGGAACAAACCCATTATTTGTATTAGTACAGGGGGTAATGATGTTGGACGAGTTAGGAGTGAGGAACTGATGCGGAAATTTAAGACATAGAATTAGTTAGGAGCAAGGGAGGAATCCCGATCATATGTGGCATTCATCCAAGAAAGAGCGTTGGAAATGAATGGTTGTCGAGAGCACTTGGTGTCAATTGCCGGCTGGAAAGATATTGTAAATTAAATGCAATATCTTTCATTGACAACTGGGAACACTTTTATGGAAGAAATGAAATGTATGCTCGGGATGGAGTGCATCTATCGAGAGCTGGGGTTGTTGCTGTTGCGAACTCGTTGGAACCAGTGTTTAGAGGTGTTTGTTTGGGTTTAAACTGTTAGTAGATAGTGGTATGGGAATTGATAGGGAGGAAGGAGGTAATAAAAGTATGTGTTTGTTGGAGAAACAAATTGGCAAAATGATCAGGGAAAGAGAAGGGCCTCAAAATAACAATTCACTTAGGGTATATTACACTAACAGTAGAAGTCTAAGAAACAAAATAAACGAGTTAAATGCTCTTGTCTGCACAGAAAAAATAGATATTATTGCACTTACCGAAACGTGGATGAATGTAGAAAATCGAGAACTATTAGCTGAATATCAATTAAATGGATTTAAACTATTTCACACAGATATATTACATGAGGAGGTGGAGTAGCCATATATGTTAGGGAAAATTTGAAATATAGTCTCAAAGAAGGAATCAAAACTGAGCCACATACAGAAACTATTTGGATAGAATTAAACGAAAGGGCAAATAATCTTATAATAGGAGTTATATATAGGCCACCAAACTTAAACAGGATGGAAGCAAAGCATCTATGGAATGAAATATCTAGAGCATCTAGGTCTAGCAGTATTTGTGTCATGGGTGACTTTAATTTCAGTTGAATAAATTGGTCTAACAGAACAGGGAATAATGAAGCAGAAGATTATCTAGAATTAATTGACAATTCCTTTCAATAGCCAACACAGTAAGGAACCAACGCGGGAAAATAATACTTTAGATTTAGTGTTAACTATCAGGGAAACACAAATTAATGACATCGAAATAGGGAGTGAGCTAGGGAACAGTGATCACAAAGAAATCAGATTTAGCATAGAATGGAGTAGACCTGTAGGAGAAAATTCTGTTAGTCCCAGAGTTTCGAAAAGCTGATTTCAATAGCCTAAGAAATTTTGGGGGGCAAATAGATTGGAAAGTCATGGGTATGGGAGGTGGGCCGATCTTAGAGCGAAACATGAACGAAGCGATAGGTGACGTAAAAGGGGATTTCGATGTGGATTCACAATATAACTTATTTAAGAATATTCTAAGTAAAGCACAGGAACGTAGTATACCTTACAAATTGAATAGGTCAAATACTAATGATCCATAGTGGATAACAAAGGATTTGAAGAACCTTATAGGTAAAACGAGAGCGTGGTACAAAAGGATTAAGAATGGGGAAGTCAGTTTAGAAGAGGAATTTGTACAACTGGTTAGAAATGTTAAAAAAAGAGATAAGGAAAACAAAAAGAAACTACGAAGTTCGCATAGCAGGGCAAGCGAAGACAAATCCTAAATCAGTTATGTCGAACTAAGACTAGGGAAAGGATAGGTCCATTAAAAACTGAGACAGGTCAAATAACGGATAATGACGAGAAGATGAGTAGTATTTTTAATAAATATTTTATATCTGTACTTACTAAAGAGGAACTTAGCAATATGCCTTCAGCCGAACACGTCTATGTGGGTGGGGACGAGGACAGGTTGACTAGTTTAGCAGTTACCAGGGAGGATGTAATTAAACAAATAGTAAAACTAAAACCAAACGAATCCCCAGGGCCGGATGAAGTGTTTGCCAGGATGCTTAAAGAATGCAAAGAGGAGCTTTCCGAGCCACTGTCTACCATATTTAATTCGTCAATAGAGTTAGGCAGAGTGCCAGAGTCATGGAAGGTTGCTAATGTGGTACCAATTTTTAAGAAAGGAGATAGATCACTTGCGTCAAACTATCGGGTAATTAGCCTAACGTCCATTGTGGGAAAGTTACTTGAATCAATAATTGCAAATACAATTCGTCTTCATCTTGAAAAACATAAATTAATAAATGAGTCGCAACATGGTTTTACAAATGCTACGGGCTATTCATGCCCGTACCACCTCTTGGGTGGCTTAACCTTCATCAACCAATCAAGTCTTAACTAAAGGAACTCTCTTGTATCAACATATCGCCTCTTGTTGATTATTCACTACCTCTTATTTCCTTCTTGGAGTCAGTTTGGATGAATATGAAGAGAAACTGCCTCGTATAGGGCAATAGGCCATCTGCAGTTTGGTTAATGTTCAAGTTCTTATGTTTCAATGATGATGTTACAACAGTGAAGATGGGAGCCCTATTCTTCATTGTTGTAACATCATCGTTGTAACATAAGAACTTGAACATTAACCAAACTGCAGACGGCCTATTGCCCTATACGAGGCAGCTTCTCTTCATATTCATCCAAACTTATTCAAATATATGTCTAGCGTACGTGGACTGTACCTGGATGAGGTTCTGGGAGTTTTACTCCTTACAAGTCAAACCCAGCTCAGGCTTGACTTGTAAGAGATTGGACCAACAGGCTGTTTTTGGCTTGGAGCGGCCAGAAGGCCCACACACATCCACCACAGCCCGCTGTGTCCTAGATTTCTTACAGAAAACTGCAAAAAGTTTTCTGCATTTTCTGAACACCTTCGCTTGAAACAATTGAGGGATCCCACATCTACTACGTAACCCGGTAATCTGTTCCGCAAATCAACAACCCAGTTACCAAACCAGTATTTATCCAGGTCTTTCCTGAATCTAAAACCAGTATTTACCCAGGTCTTTCCTGAATCTAAAACCAGACATTACCCAGGTATTTCCTGAATCTAAAACCAGTCATTACCCAGGACTTTCCTGAAACTAAAACCAGACATTACCCAGGTATTTCCTGAATCTAAAACCTGTATTTACCCAGGTCTTTCCTGAATCTAAACTTATCCAATTTATTTCCATTGTTTCGTGTTTTATTATGTGTTGATATGCTTAACACCTTATTGATATCGCCCTTGTTATGCCTGTTCAAGCACTTGTTCACTTGCCGTGTCAACCATTATTTTTCGTCGTTCTAGAGAATGTAAATTAAGCTTTCTCAATCTCTCTTCTTAAGCTTTCTCAATCTCTCTTCTTAAGCTTTCTCAATCTCTCTTCTTAAGCTTTCTCAATCTCTCTTCTTAAGCTTTCTCAATCTCTCTTCTTAAGATTACTCAATCTCTACTTTGTCATACTTTGTTGAACGCGTTCAATTGAATTTTTGTCCATTCAACAGTATGGTGATCAAACTTTAACTGCATAATCTAAATTTTGGGTCCAATAAGAGCAATGTATAATTGAAGAACAAGATATAATTCTTGAAGTAATTATCCTACAGTGACATCATTGTAGGATAATCACTTCAGAAAATCATTGTAACATTTTCTCTACCCCCCACGCTTTTCTTTGTATCATATTCAGTTCCCATGGTCATCTAAGTACAGTCATTACATGCGACGATTACTGTAACATTCATCATACATACGATCATCACTGTAACGTCTTCAATACACTGATCATCATTGTACCACCTTCACTACGTCCAGTCATCATTGTAACACCTTCACTACGTCCAGTCATCATTGTAACACCTTCACTACGTCCAGTCATCATTGTACCACCTTCACTACGTCCAGTCATCATTGTACCACCTTCACTACGTCCAGTCATCATTGTACCACCTTCACTACGTCCAGTCATCATTGTACCACCTTCACTACGTCCAGTCATCATTGTAACACATTCACTACGTCCAGTCGTCATTGTAACACCTTCACTACGTCCAGTCGTCATTGTAACACCTTCACTACGTCCAGTCATCATTGTACCACCTTCACTACGTCCAGTCATCATTGTACCACCTTCACTACGTCCAGTCATCATTGTACCACCTTCACTACGTCCAGTCATCATTGTACCACCTTCACTACGTCCAGACATCATTGTAACACCTTCACTACGTCCAGTCATCATTGTACCACCTTCACTACGTCCAGACATCATTGTACCACCTTCACTACGTCCAGACATCATTGTACCACCTTCACTACGTCCAGACATCATTGTACCACCTTCACTACGTCCAGACATCATTGTAACACATTCACTACGTCCAGACATCATTGTAACACATTCACTACGTCCAGTCATCATTGTAACACCTTCACTACGTCCAGTCGTCATTGTAACACCTTCACTACGTCCAGTCATCATTGTACCACCTTCACTACGTCCAGACATCATTGTACCACCTTCACTACGTCTAGACATCATTGTACCACCTTCACTACGTCTAGACATCATTGTACCACCTTCACTACGTCCAGTCATCATTGTACCACCTTCACTACGTCCAGTCATCATTGTAACACCTTATTGGTTCTGACAAGCGTCTTGGTCCCCACAAAGTTACCCCATTCAACTTGAGAATACGAAATACGAAATTTTATTTCGTATTTCCAGAACACGAAATTTTATTTCGTATTTCCAGAAAACGAAATTTTATTTCGTATTTCCAGAACACGAAATTTTATTTCGTATTTCCAGAACACGAAATTTTATTTCGTATTTCCAGAACACGAAATTTTATTTCGTATTTCCAGAACACGAAATTTTATTTCGTATTTCCAGAACACGAAATTTTATTTCGTTCTCTCTGCGTCAACCCGTCCTTCTAATAGAACGTCGCATTTTGACGTATTTTTATCTAAGGCCAAATTTCGTCGTACTAGAAAATGGTAGCGGCTCTCGAAATTGACATACTGTCCCGTTTTCTGTTTTGGGTCCTCTGGTAGGTTGGGATAAAGGGGGTACTTTAGTATGACAGTTTCTTGACGTTAGTCAATCTTAGGAGGACGGACTGTTCTCGCACGACATAATTCTATGTGGCACTTCCTGGAGAGTGTTTACGATCCTTGATATATTCACTTGGTTGTATTCAACTAATTGTACTTGCGGGGGTTGAGCTCTGCTCTTTCGGCCCGCCTGTCAACTGTCAATCAATCAATTGTTACTAACTTGTTAGGGAGCCGGTCGGCCGAGCGGACAGCACGTAGGACTTGCGATCCTGTGGTCCTGGGATCGATCCCGGGCACCGGCGAGAAACAATGGGCAGAGTTTCTTTCATCCTATGCCCCTGTTACCTAGCAGTAAAATAGGTACCTGGGTGTTAGCCAGCTGTCACGGACTGCTTCCTGGGGGTGGAGGCCTGGTCGAGGACCGGGCCGCGGGGACACTAAAGCCCCGAAATCATCTCAAGATAACCTCAAGATAACTACTAACACATTTTTTAACACACACACGCACACATAGCTGATTGACGGTTGAGAGGCGGGACCAAAGAGTCAGAGCTCAACCCCCGAAAGCACAATTTGGTGAGAAACAATTAGGTGCCAATTGAGTACACACACACACCCAGGAAGCAGCCCTAACACCTAACTCCCAGATTCCTATTTACTGCTAGGTAACGGGTGCATTAGGGTGAAAGAAACTCGTCTGTTTCCGCCGGCGGCCGGGATCGAACCTGGGATAACAAGTCCCAAGCGCTGGCCATTCAGCCACGGCCGATGTGTAAGGTTGTCAGTGTAGAGACATTCATCTCTATCTATTTGGACGTTAGATTCCTTCCTGAACAGTGTCTTGAAAACTCACAGGCTATCTTGAGGTTATCTTGAGATGATTTCGGGGCTTTAGTGTCCCCGCGGCCCGGTCCTCGACCAGGCCTCCACCCCCAGGAAGCAGCCCGTGACAGCTGACTAACACCCAGGTACCTATTTTACTGCTAGGTAACATTAGGCGCTCAGTGTTATTGTTCCTCTTCTCACGTGAATAACTAGAAAAATGCATCACATTGATCACATTGTTTTTGTAATTATTTGTGCAAATGATAACTGGATATTATGATAACTGCTTACAAGAACACATTAGCAAGTTGTGAGAGTGCACTGCAAGAATGTGGCTACTATTTTATTTCACTTAATATATATCTGTAGCGTGATTTGTTATCGTTTTTTGGCAACAATAGAATAAAGGTAACTGGTTAAGGCGATAAAGTTCCTGTTTCAACCAAACCAAACTTGAGTTGATTTGAAAATTTGGTTTCAATTCAACCAAACTCATTCATTTTTATATATATCTAACTTGCCCTTGAAACAATCCATCGATCCAATCATTATACAGTAGTTTGTTACATATATCTGAAACCCTGTTCCCAAGCCTGTATTTAGAATCTTTTAGATTCTAAACTTTAATCAAGTCTATCACTGGAATTTCAAATTAACTCAGTTGGCAGAGAATGTACTAAACGCGTAGCTTATCTCTGTTGATGAGCTGTGAGACATGGAGGCGGTCACTCACACGTCACTACAAGGAGCTGTGAGACATGGTGGAGGCGGTCACTCACACGTCACTACAAGGAGCTGTGAGACATGGTGGAGGCGGTCACTCACACGTCACTACAAGGAGCTGTGAGACATGGTGGAGGCGGTCACTCACACGACGCTACAAGGAGCTGTGAGACATGGTGGAGGCGGTCACTCACACGTCACTACAAGGAGCTGTGAGGCATGGTGGAGGCGGTCACTCACACGTCACTACAAGGAGCTGTGAGACATGGTGGAGGCGGTCACTCACACGTCACTACAAGGAGCTGTGAGACATGGAGGCGGTCACTCACACGTCACTACAAGGAGCTGTGAGACATGGTGGAGACGGTCACTCACACGTCACTACAAGGGGCTGTGAGACATGGTGGAGGCGGTCACTCACACGTCACTACAAGGAGCTGTGAGACATGGTGGAGGCGGTCACTCACACGTCACTACAAGGAGCTGTGAGACATGGTGGAGGCGGTCACTCACACGTCACTACAAGGAGCTGTGAGACATGGTGGAGGCGGTCACTCACACGACGCTACAAGGAGCTGTGAGACATGGTGGAGACGGTCACTCACACGTCACTACAAGGAGCTGTGAGACATGGTGGAGGCGGTCACTCACACGTCACTACAAGGAGCTGTGAGACATGGTGGAGGCGGTCACTCACACGTCACTACAAGGAGCTGTGAGACATGGTGGAGGCGGTCACTCACACGTCGCTACAAGGGGTTGTGAGACATGGTGGAGGCGGTCACTCACACGTCGCTACAAGGGGCTGTGAGACATGGTGGAGGCGGTCACTCACACGTCGCTACAAGGAGCCGTGAAACATGGTGGAGGCGGTCACTCACACGTCACTAATACCAGTTACCACCAGACGCAAACCGACATTCCTTCCTCGTTAGTTATCCCAAATGTTTAGATTAACGTCAGTCATCAGCGCTCTCGTGACCGTCTGCGTTTGTCGTTTCCTGCATGCAGCCCCTTGTCTGTGTCTGCTGCTGCTGCTCCGGCCTCGTGTCTCTCTCTCTTGGTGCTCCGGCCTCGTGTGTGTGTGTGTGTGTGTGTGTGTGTGTGTGTGTGTGTGTGTGTGTGTGTGTGTGTGTGTGTGTATTATTGTCTTCAGCCTAGTGGATGTGTCTGTTATTACCTGGGGATGTGTTACAAAAGAAGGCCTGGTCGAGGACCAGGCCGCCGGGATGCTAAGCCCCGAAATCATCTCAAGATAACCTCAAGATAGATGCGCGGCCGGACCAATACGGCAGGCATGGTCTCATCTGTCGGAAGACACAGGGAAAGATTGCCAAACATGAAGCAGTCAATGACATCATCAAGAGAAGTGTGGCTACAGCTGGGTGTCCAGCATAAAGAGAACTTCAGTTGTGCAGACCTGATAACAGACACACACGCCCAGATGGAGTCACCCTGCAGCCATGGAGGGATGGTAAACAGGTCGTGCGGGACAACTTATTTTCTTCTTCAAGGCTATGGGTCCCTACAATTGCACCAGAGGTTAACCCCTTTATATATATATAATATATATATATATATATATATATATATATATATATATATATATATATATATATATATATATATATATAATAATAGTAATTAGGCATCCATCAGTCTCAGGAGACTATGGAGTTGAGCTCTGGTTGTCGGTCTGGAGTGGCCTCTCCAGGGCACAAAGCCAGAGTAGGTTGATACTCGGGAGAAGCTGTCACCTATGCAGCAAGTCAGCCACACCCCTCACCATAGCGACGAAAATCTGCAATGGAAAGGCAAACACCAAAACGATTGGTTCCAGGGCCGTCGCAGGAACTGTCAGAAAGAGGTTGAAGGCAACAACGAACTGACCTAGGGGGCTCCAGCTCCGGAGTTTATGTCGAAGTTGGTAAAAGAAGGCACGGGGACTCCAAACCCTGAGACTCCAAACTCGCCCTTGCACCCCAGCAAGGGCAAGAACGACCCCAGCCTCCTGAAGCAGAGCTTAGGCCGCACGAGCCTCAGGAGTTAAACTTTTTTTTTTTTTTTTTTCTCATGGATATTCCTGTGCGGGCCCTAAGCCTCTGGCTGGCCCACTAAGTGTTGCTTGTTTCTGTTTTACTTGGGCGGAGTATGAGTATTTATGACTCGTATGGTCGCTTCAGTAAGATTTTGCCATGTGTGTTTAACAACTTCTTCTGCTCTTTTGAATTTACCAACCACTTGGGCTGGACGGTAGGGCGACGGTCTCGTTTCATGCAGGTCGGCGTTCAATCCCCGACCGTCGAAGTGATTGGACACCATTCCTTCCCTCCCCATCCCATCCCAAATCCTTATCCTGATCCCTTCCCAGTGCTATGTTGTCGTTATGGCTTGGTGCTTTCCCGATAATTCCTTTCCTTTCCTTCTGTTGAATCTAAGTTGAAATCTTAATGGGTTTGTAACTGAGTACTGTGTTAGATAATGTTCCAGTGGTCTGTCGGGCATTTCTCCACAGTGCAGGAGGTAAACGTCAGAGTCCCACACCAACTGCTTGCCATTCTTCCAGGGGTTCATTGTGATACCATCTGGGCGACCATGTCGGAAAATCCGACACAATTTAATAATATCATACAGACAGATAAGAGCTGTGTTGTATAAACAAGTTACCCATAGAAAATGTAACTTGTAGTGGAATTACCGTCTATAGAAAACGGGATATCATCACCACATACTATTATAATTCACCAGCTATTCTGCTGGGAATTATTCTTAAATACATTAGTCTTTGGACTTTACCATCATAAAACATCTCATATAAATTAACTTAATTATCAATATTAAAGTAGAGTAAATGTGACCCTTCTATCACTTTCTGAAATGTGGACAATGTAAGCCAGGCGTCAGAGTGAGGAGGAAGGAGGGCAGCCATTGTTGTTTACGAGACCAGAGGCTCACACGGGAGCAAATTCGGCTCCTGTTAATTTTACTTGGACGTAGTGTTATGGAACCCAAAGG